TTGGGGCTTAATGATAAGGTAGGACCGCCACAGGGGTGGCGCTAGCGAAGGGGGATGGGATAGTATTTAGGGGGTAGGGATCTAGGATCTATTTATAAATTTTAAAATTCTAGCATAATTAGATTCGCATCGCTGGTTACACTTGTGTGACTGCGTTACAGATGCTTAGTACTGTAGGTTAACGGTTCTCAAAAGGTTTGTCGATTGAAGATCCACCATCCCGTACGCAAGTCGCCGAAGCCGAACTAAAGCCCATGTCGAGGCATAGACCTTATTAAGGGTAATATTAAGGGTGATATTAATATTTGAAAAAATACTGTTTTATCTATTCCGTATAGGCCTACCTTTTTTCACGTATATTACTGATGTGCAGCCTATAACACTAAATTCACTGGGAACGTTACGTATGAAATCTCCCAGTAACCGACACAATTAAACCAGATCTGTCAGTCCCTCAAAGATTATGAATAGTGACGCAGTTTAACGCATGTTGACAGCAGAGCATTGTGTAGTGATTGAGGTCCCCGTTTTTTCACAAAGGGACTGTAGAAATAAATAGTATGAATGTCGCTCCAAAAATCAACTAAACCATTTTATTCTGCCTTTCTCTTTTATTTAAGCGTCATCAAGAATAAATATATATTGTTAAATCGAGAGAACCGATAGGGTCTAGAGCCTCCGAAAACTGAATTCTGTCATGTCGTGAACTCACGTAATTAGGGCCTACAGTAAGATTAAACATCAAAGATTTCGTGTACGGTATTAGTATAGGATAAAAATTAGCGGATTCTCTACTGTTCCACGTATCGTGAGATTCAATATGCTTGCATTTATAAGCCTATACAGTATTACATTATGTTGTTGAACCTTTTGCTGTATCTTTGGCATGATATATACGCAAAATGGTCTGGAATGGCAAATGGGTATAAAGTAGCGCTATGATGACTCGTTGTACTGTCGATGTGCTCTCATCACTTAGATTTAACGTTTCAAAAACTGCAGCAATTATGTCAGTCATTAATTATCATTTATCTTCATTAACGCCTTTTTGACATTTAAAAGAAACGGCTATATTTATGCACAAATACCGTACCATTCAAATTTACTACACCTAGAATGTTCCAATTCATTATTCCATACACATGAATCTGTTCACGATCATAATACCAGAAAGAAATGTAACTTATCTTCTAACTTTAAAAGAACTAAAATGGGTCAAAAAAACATGGAAAAATAAATGTTATCATGATTCAGCACGTAAATAATAATCTTCCGGCACCGAAACCTAGACTCGGAAATACCGGGATGGTGCCAAGCGGGGAAAAGTTTTACCTTTAGATGGACTAGATTAGATTACTTTTAGTTTAACATATCACTTGTACTAGCAATCTTTATTCAGGCCCCGAAACCATGATTTAGAAATACCGGGATGGTGTCCGGCAGGTTTCCTTGATAAGGCCTGATTAATTTTTTTGTATTATCTATTTTTTATTAAAGGGTTACGTGTTAAAAGCTTTGCTTTCAATGTAATTCCTTACATTTCATTTTCATATTTTTATTTATTGTTATAAGCATACTTTAAATTTTCTATTGTAATCATACTTGTGAATATGAATGTGAAATAAATCGAAATCGAAAACGCAGGAATTTAAGGTCATTAACTATCCACTAAGAATGTTGTGAAGTATATTTCCTGGAATCTAGAAAACCTTCCCTCCGATTCTGAACCCCTTTCCCTAAAAACCACCGTTTATTCAACATTCACGAGAAAACCTGATCCGCTTTTAATTATACACAACTACTGTAAAATGAAGATTGACAGACGTTAGAATAATAGGCTATAATTTATCTGTTGCTGGAAGGTGTGAATTTATAGGCCTAAGTAATGCCACTTATGCCCATTGAGGTAAAGTTAAACCTACTCCGGTTTTCAACCAATCTGGGGGGTGTTGGTGTGGGAATTGAGAGCTAAAACCGCTAATATTTCTTCGGTATGTGTGAAATTATGTGTCTTATTAGTACATACACCATTACAAAACATTATCGTGCAACCGTTTCAAGAATTAATCACCAACGTAAAAAAAAACTGACATCGGTGCTTCATACCTACGCGTGTCCATCACGAGTAGAACAGTAGTCCCATAATTGTATTAATCTACTGGGCATGCTCCGAGTAAACAATAGCTCACTCCACTTACTGAAATATCCTTACAATTCACCACACAGCTTTACGGAGCACAGTACGCAGCGAGTTAATCGGCTCCAAGTTATCATTTAGTTCCCCCGGGTTCATGTTTACAGACAGAAACCATATACGTGCTATATAGTACAGCGACATTTCATTTCAAAGAACCCCGCCATCTACTACTATTTCCTCAAGCAACATTAGCCTATCGTCGTAATAGCTATGGATTGCGTTTACCTGTCTTGTGAGTAGTTTACTTTATTGATTGGGGTTTTTTTTTTTTGTTATAATATGGGTTTGCTCACTATCTGTAATTCAAATAGGTACTTTATCCAGTCAGTAACGAGGATTTTTTGAACCACAGAATATCTTCCATTTCAGACTAAGACCTCTTATAGATTCATTGATATAGTAGCGTACTAATATCCGACAATGTTGCACATTTTCCTGGTTAATAAGTTATCGCGCTGCAACCTGACTCGTGTAGTAGGTATACCCAGGGAATAAGTTGCTTATTCTCGTGTTGATACATAAAGTTGTGACGTCTTCGGCAATTGTTAGGACATAAATGATAATTCCGTAAGTACAATTCATGAAGATATGGTAATAATATGGTTCTTTACAAGGAGAGCGAGTGTCGAGGAGCGCTCTATTTGTATATGGGTCGCGTGTTATACTAACTTTGTTTGCATTAGCGTCGTATCTCTCGACATCGACCCCTATTAAGTGCAGCACGTTCCTTCTTTCAGGACCTTCAAAACCCACGTGTGTGGTGTTTCAATAGTAATAAGATGCAGTTTCATGGAAGCAGATATATTATTATCGCATACTGTAGGTCGCTATGGGAGACGGTGAAGGAACGCAAAACAAAAAGTGCAACAGAAACCACGTTTAGTTTTAATCACAATTTAATGAGTAGGCCTGCCTTCGATGTTACACAACCACACACCCCCATACACATAACGAGTTTGTTATTTCCTATGGTATGTACGTGAACAAGTCGGCTATGAAGTTTGATCCATTTAAATGAGGCGTGAATCAGAATGTACTTCGACTGGGAGAGCCTGCATAATCTACATAAATACACCTTTGGTAATGATTAAACGTCCCTAGTCAGCAATCGATCACCCCATTATGTGAATTTAACTAAAGATTTGAACGATGCGAACATGATTTGATGTTTACAAAAAACATTCTATATGAAATCACATCGTCTAAATGATACAAAAAGACAACTAATCTAATACGGCCTAATAATATTCGACAGGGAACTATCAAGGCGGCTATCAGGAGCTGGAATTATTAGGCTATAAATATTATTTGTGTAAATTTGCCCGAATTGAAATTGAACCGCACGCGTAATATATAAACGCATGTTCACGAATAATTTAGTCGTTGTGCTCAACTCTTTCAATATTTTGGTGGCGCTTAATGATATACCATGTCGATACTGGTTCTACATCATTCTATATTTAACCTGGAAAGTTCTATGTATCAGTGCACAAACGGCGTCACTTTGTGTTCTGTGCACTTGATTAGGCATTAGTCAAAATTGAATAACGGGTCGCTGGTTACCAGGGCCGTTCTTTAGGGTACAAAATTAAAGATGTCTTTTCATTTACTACAGTATTTTGTTGCAGATTACGGCCAGAATTTATCATAAAGATAATGTTCAGTGATATCGCATAGGGCCTTCTCCGTTGAAACGATCCCAGTATTTCAGCTAAGTCAATCTTCGCGATTCCACTCCGTTTTTGAAACATCTCCATGAAATAAAAATCTAGTGGAATCTCTGTTCGCATATAGGCCTAAGTCGACCTGAGAGCGAGAGTAATGGGGACAAACATTAGGATATACTCTAAAAAAAACCCGAAAAATCTGGCTCTAATTCTAGCTTAATATAACATAGTAGGCCTACGGATACATTATAGCCTACTTCATATGGGTTCGACCTTTGTCGACAATTAGTTGAAACCAAAGCTGATCAATCCTGATCAATCGGTAATAAACATAATAAATTTAGTACACAAACATGAATAACATACCAACGGCATAAGTAAACAACAAATATCAATATTTGTCTTACTATTAATCAGTGGCGTATCCAGGAATTCGATATAGAGGGCGACCATGAAGGAGGGACCTTTTACGAATAGAGGGTCTACCCACCTCAGTCCCACCATGATTGGCCAAGACATTTTATGATTATGGTACCACTAGATCGCCGGAAATGACATTCTCAGACTTAAATTTGAATACAATTTTCATTTTTTTTCTTCATTATTTGTATATTTTGTAAAATTTAGGGGAGGGGAGAGGGGCGCAGACCGGCTGCTCCCTCTTAAATTGGCCGCGAGTTTATATTTTTAATTTATATATACATACTTTTTAAATAGTGGAATATTTAGATTTACACATTTATGTTGTGGCTGGATAAAAGATATTCATTGTGGGCAAAAATAAAATATTGATCACCATTGGTCAAGTCGTCAGATCTGTTGAAGACTTTACATCAACTGTGTAAATTACCGTCGTAGCACGTGAATTGACAGTCTTTTTTTTTTTCTTTTTTTTCTTTTTTGCAAACCTGCTTACGACCCAAAGCTGAAGTTTGGTGACCTACTTTTCGGAAGCGTGGGTGTAGTGTATAAAAATTTATGAAATGTTAGAATAATACAGTAGGCCTATTTGAGTGAATTTATTTTCTGTGCCATTCATGAACATGCCAAAACATAAAATAATAAAAAAAACAATCGCCTGCCGATGCCTTTCTGATACGAGGACTAAACTATTATCGAATTCATTAATTTTTCAGGTTTTATTGTGGCAATATTAGTTATCGGAGTCCACTCTGAGATTGCTACGTTCAATATGGGAGGCGTCACGGGCAATATAAGCTTCACAATAAGTAATGGCGGCGGTTACAATATAATCACAAGCCTGTCAGGATTACAGTATAACTACAGTTGGTCAGTACATCAGTTACCAATGTTTTACAACACAGAGTCGCCATGTTTAGCAGTCGGTGAAGTATTACACAGCTTTAGCGATGAGTTTGGGGAACCCTTGCCCGCAAATACTCAGCCATATAGTAGAACTAGCACTTTAAATGACATGGTGGTGGATAGATCAATTGTCTTGTCAAGAGATGGTAGTCATGAACTCATCTGCGCGCATATCCATCGTGACACAGCAGACGTCATCACCGCTGTTGCAACGTTTCAGGAACCTTTTGCAGGTACAATCATGTTTCGTCAAGCCGCTGATAACAGTGCGGACATCACGACGTTGTTTGTGGATCTGTACGATACTGTCGCACCAATTGAGTCTGCAGTTTATAGTTGGCGTGTGGCAGATTTCAGTGGTGAAGTTAATACAAGTTTGTCTCCGGATATGATATGTGACCAAGTCATGTCCAGCGAGCCATTTAACCCAAAGAATGTTAATGTAGATTTTTGTGATAAAATAGATTTGAAAAACTGTGCCGTCGGTGATCTAACTGGCAAATTTTCTGATCTGACTGTCCAACCCGTTGCTTCAAATATAAAGTACTTTTTCAACGATCCTGTTTTGCCTCTTTCTGGAAGTAGTTCCATTCTACAAAAGATACTAGTGCTGGAAAGCGAGGCGAACGTAAGCTCTTGTGCATATGTGAGAAAACTCGTTGGCAAAGAAGTCACGGCAAAAATTGATTCTGATCACGTACAAGGTTCATTCATATTCCGACAAACCTCTCCACTCGACTACACAAGTGTGCAAATCAATTTGCACAACATGCGGTCTATAGCAGGTGGCTTTCACGTGCACAAGTTCCCAGTTCCACAACGGTTTAGCGCAGAGGACCAGATCTGTAGCGATGCATCGGTGTCTGGTCACTTTAACCCATATGATGTACCAAAAAATGCGAATTACCCCGCTCCAGCCAACACTACGCAAGATAGATACGAAGTGGGCGATCTCAGCGGAAAATATGGTCTTTTAACCGGTTATAATAACCTAATGACAACGTACATGGACTGGAACTTGCCATTGTATGGACGCAATAGTATCATAGGGCGGTCAGTTGTTATTCACTTTTCGTCGGATGGTTCCCGATGGGTATGCGGAACAATTGGCTACCCTGGTGAAGTTAAAACCGTATATGGAAAATTCCAGACTCCTGTCGTCGGGAGTATAATGTTTCGGCAGTTGGTTGACGATCCGTTGTCGGATACGTCAGTCTTCATTGATGTTACCTATGCAAACGGGTCTCCAACCACCTCCAACCACAATTGGCATGTGCATATTTCAAAGGTGGGTAGTGATATGATGACAGACACTGATGTTTGTAAAAGCTGCAAAGGACATTCCAATCCATTCAATGTGTATTTAGACAATTACTCTGGATGCAATGCTGAGTTCCCGATGAGGTGCGAAGTCGGTGACTTGTCGAATAAACATGGAAAACTAGCTATCGCCGAATCAATGAACACAAAAGTAGGAAAGATATTCGGCACTGATGTACAGCTTCCTCTTTCAGGATTTGGAACCATTGAATCTATGAGTATTGTCATCCACGTTGCAGATTCAGGTGCTCCGCGTATGGCCTGCACCAATCTCTACACTCTGGAACCAAAGGTACTTAGTACAGGAACATGGACAGAAGGTCCGGCGAATGGAGAGATGCGATTCACGCAGAATTCCAAATACGATTTGACAAAATCTGAAATAAATATGCAGAACCTCGGAAATTTAGCCGGAGGATATCACGTACATCTACTACCAGTACCAATGAAAGCGGAATCGCCTTGTAGTGTCATGTCTGTTCAAAACCACTTCAACCCATTTAACGCCTCAACTCCAGCAAATGGAACAGACGATATGTACGAAGTCGGTGATTTAAGTAATAAATACGGTTCATTTGCAGGCGTAGACAGTGTGAATGCAGTGTATCATGATGCTAATCTACCTTTGTTTGGGCCTCTCAGTGTCGTTGGTCGATCGATCGTTATCCATAGGAATGATGAGACTGGTTCCCGGTGGATGTGTTCAACATTGGAGGAAGAACTTCCAGAGGGAACATTCGTGATCGAAGCTGAGTCAGAAATGAATGGTGAAATGTTCTCCGGTTACATCAAAATGGTAAGTTTACAAAAGCTTTTGATATATACCAATTACTGTATTCATAATTAAGATTAAACAACTGTGAAGTTTCTTTTCTACTAAACTGATACTGTACCTGGCCTACTATTATCTGATCAATTATTTTCTTAAGTTGTACAAAATTCCAGGTCGATTCCAGCAACGTAATGTTCAAAAGACCAGCTTATTTTATTGGGATTCTTAAGAAGTGAAACGTTTCTAAAATAAGTGTATTAAAAAAATGCCTTATTCTATTGTGTTATATTTCTGAGTGCTTTTTGATACTGAATTGACACCTTTACCAAATACGCTACCGTTAAAGTACTGCGTACACAAAATTAACTTGACCTGAACTTTTAAAAATAGTATGTTCACTCTGAACAGGTTCCATTCAATCAATTTATAATATGTCATCTCAAAGGTATTTGGATAAGAATGACTGATGTCACATTAAATGAACATTCAGAATGATATCGAATGGGTTTGATGCATAGAGTTATGTCGTTTTATCAGCCACATACTGTAGATAGATATTAACCACATTTCATGAGGAACAGTAAACAATCCGAAGTCCGTTATACAGTACATCGCGGAGATTTGAACAAAGTGTTTAGTAAAGCTGGTGAAAGCATATTTATTCAAATTTTGAGTTACGCGATGTTTTCATGTCGGGCTGACGCTGGCTGCAATCAGGGAACTTGGTAGGCCTATAGCGATAAATGTCTCCTATTCCCAGGGAAATCTTGACAAACACGTACACAAGGACATACATTTTTTTGGTTGTAAAATTTTCACTTCTGCTAGATCGCTCCACCATATTATTTTATGTCGTATTTGTTTAATATTAATGTGCCGGTGGTAGCTGTCCTCTTCAAAAGACCTTGTTGAAGCGCTTAGAGGCTTTATGCATGAAACGCTATAAGACCGACATATTATTATTATTATTATTATTATTATTATTATTATTATTATTATTATTATTATTATTATTATTATTATTATTATTATTATTTATTATTTATTATTATTTTTATTATTGATTCTGACATATTGACAAATGCCTAAGCTACTAGTAACTCATTTGCAGCTCAGATCTTCTTTTGTTTCAAATTAATTTGATAACTTAAATAGCTAGTCGTTGGGAGTATTAAGAAAGGCCGATAATTAATTTAACTATTTAAGGCTGCGTTATATCATTTGAATTCTGTATAAAATTGAATGTTATGGCATGGCATGAAGCTGATGAAAACTTTTAAAATAAGGTACAGTAATCCCAAAATTGTGAGTTTTCAAAACAAATGTTTTCACTAAATATTTTATCTACTGTATTAGTTAATTAATATGATTTACCTCGTATATACAATATTAATATGATCAACGTAGGCCTGAGGTTTGTTTTGTAGATTACATGAATTGATTTATTGTAGAGATTGTGCACGATAACCAGGGCAGATAGTGAAAACTCCCATCACTCATTTTCTGGTTCTTAACATCTGTGATTTCTGGAAAAAGTTCACCCTAAAGCGGGAAGTTTGTAATTATTGAAGAATTTTGTTAGTTCATCTGTACCTAGGGTATTTGTTAATGTACGGGAGTAAAAACTCTTTCAAAAAAGAGTTGAAAACGTATTACATTATTTTTTCTCATTGTGTAATCTCAACTCAATTCTCGCATATAAGAACAATAAAGATGAAAATATCATTAATTATTCATGTGAGGAAAAGATAGCTTCAGACATACTTTTGACCGCTTTTCTGCTGCCTTTAAATTAAATGTAAATTGAATTAGTTAGCAAAAGCTTCGGGTTTCACCACTGGGGACCAAAAGGTGAAGAGCGTTGCAGCCACAAATACGATTCCATTACCAAGACTAGGTTTTGACTCCAAGTGCTAGATATAGGTCAATACGCTCGCTGCTAATATTGCAAATACATGAACGACTTGTTATTTTTCAAGAAAGCAAACTGACAAGGCAATTTTAAAGTAATTTGTTCAAGTATTTGCAATTATAACTAGCATTCCAGTGTTGCATTAAAATGTTAGTCTGCATACGGAGCCTCGGGATATAAGCAATCTTCATTAGAAATGTATGAATTTTGTAATTATTGTTTATTGGACGATCAATTTATTAATGTAATTGGAAAAAATATGAAGACAATTGACGCAAATATCTTCAGGCGACTTGTTAATAGGTATTTTTTAGTAGCTTGATATTCAATAATTGTCATAAACAACTCTAATTTACTTTTGGCTTTAGGCCTACTGTTGTGCTGAATTGGCATATGGGTGTGGTCAGTGAGTATGCTGTTGGTACACGTTCTTCCACAACGTCAAAGGGCTCAAGTGAACGAAAGTATCGGGGCAACCGTTAGACAGATGACCATGTACATTTAGGTTATGTTCTTACACGGCAGCTAACGGTTAGCAGGATCCGGATCCTGCTAACCGTTAGCTGCCGTGCGTCAATACGAGAAGATCCCGATCCGGATACCAAGAATATGATGATCGAAACAGTGATGATAGAAACGCGCTCAACGTGCTAACCGATAGCGCTTGCTCACCGCTAACGGTTAGCGTTAACCGATCGAGCGTTCTCACACATGTGCTAACGGTTAGCTCCCGATCCGGATACTAGGGCTCTCGTGAGAACCAGGCTTTACGTACGCACGGACCAGATGTACACAGTGAGCTGCTTTTGAGAAGACTTGGTTCCACCGACCAAAATCAATATCAGAATTTCATTGTTCATATTTTGTTAGAAAATCTCAAATTAGTAAGATTGTCAATTTAATTTTATATTAATTAAATGTCTCTTACATGTTGAAAATTATATTATTTCGAGTAGGCCTATTTTGGAAATGCAGCGAAAATCCCGTGGCTACCAACATAACTTAGGTCATGGTCCAGGGGCCAAAAACGCCGAAAAATTAGCAGTTTTGGCGTTCTGTTAATGACTTCCTTTACTATGTGTATAAGGCTCACTCTTCGCGAAAATTCGGAATTTGTAAGAGCCGAGTGATCTGGGGTCAGGGGCCACAGGGGACACAAAGATCCATCGGTTCTAGAAAATTAGCATTTATCTCCTCTTCCCAGTAATACCATAGCTGTCAGCGATCAGTTTTTATTGACAGTAATGTACAAAGTAATCACGGAATGATGCCCGTGTCTTGCTGTTGCTAATTTCAGATTTATAAAGAAAGATGTCCAATATCGCAACTTTACTTTTTCTGTGTGTAGGTGGGTGTGTGTGATTTTTTTCCCCTTTTTTCGGGTTATTTTGATTTTTTTCGGTCTTATGAACTTCTGGTCACCGTCTAAGATTAAAAGCGACCCACAAATGATTAATAAAGGATAGTCTATTATGTTCATTAGAGCGACAACATTTGTAAGGGTAAAGAAAAATACATTGGAACCATTGAACCATTTGAGCTTTCTCTTGTTTAAAGTGCACAAACTAAATTCAATGGAATTTCATTTACAATTATTTTATTTTAGCTATTCCTTTATCACCAACTACCCTCTTTTAGCTCTTTGTCGAAATTAGGCGAGAAAATATATATCTCTATTATTCCTTTAATTTTATTTAGCCATAATTTGAAAATGATAATCTGACCACTCATAGACGCAAGGTCTATTCGATGTCTTTATACCATAGGCCTACTTGAATGTACTTTATCTTTTACTATTTAAAAGTGTCTTACCTAAAAACATTAGCAAAGTTTAGGACATGCGCATGAAGCAACTCGAGCCGACTCCACCGAGGCGCTAACTCGCGTGAGACATATTGATAACCTGTGTGATTCTTTACATGCAGTTTTATTTTAAAGACAGGCTCCGCAGGAAATCAATTTTTTGACATGTTCTACAACTGGTTTTTCTCAAAAAGTGTGTTTGTCGAAAAACTCAGTAGGCCTAACGGTTAAATATTCAAAAATCTTTATCTCATTATATCACTCCAACTTTTTTTTTTGTCATAAAAAGCACCAGTTGTACAACATATTAACATTTTTTTCCTCCGGAGCCTGGATTTAAGAATTTAAAAGAAAAATTTATTTTAGTATTTAGTGGCAGTATAACTTTAAGAGTAAAGTAAAATTATTTTGGTTTGGTTTTTATTTTTGGTTTGGCTATTTTAATTAGTTTAGGTAAAAGGGTCGTACCATAGGGACTTAAAAGTAGAGCGGCTATAAGAGACAGTGCTTCATTAATTATCCATAAAACAATATGTTTTTGTTTGCATTATAACAAACCACCATTAGTAATAAATTTAAACCTACCATTAATTATCATTATAGTCTACCCGGCATGCACCATGCTGAAATATCTATATATGAGTATTTGGCTCTTTTAGCAAAGTAATAGTAGCTGAAACTCTGTGGGGGTTCGTACCTGGAGGTAAGAGCGTGTTTATAAGGATCGTCAATCTGGCCATGCTGGAGTTATGGGGGTCACCGTAACAACATTGTTTTGTAAATCATTAGGCCTATTATATTTCTGTCATATTGAGTAGGCGTGACTGCGTATGGCAGTTGCAGATGGACAATCAATCTATTACATCTGGAACAAGATCCATATGGTAAAAAATATGGATAAAATATAGAGTGTTTACGTGACATAAATACGACCTGTTGTTTAATATATACTGTATACAATACATAGAGCACAGTTTTTTGGGGTGGTGGGGGGGGGGGCGTGCACCCTTCCGCAAAGAACAGGTTTTCTGGATAATCTAATACAGTAGGCCTATTTAAAATTTTGGTCATCCAGACTGGGCGTGTCAAGAGAGTGAAATCTTCTGGCTCTTTTCCCTTCCCCTTAATAGATACTTGCCTTTCAACCCCATATACGTTGGTTCAAATACTGGCAACACCTACTATAGTTCTGGTAAAGAAACAGCCCTCTTGCTAAGTTCAAAAAATTCTTATTTACATGCTGTTTGGTTAATCATTCGTAGATAAGAAGGAAATAAAATCAGAATAATGCTAAAAACTTCATTTCGTG